CGTTTGGATGTGAAGTTGTGTTAAACACGTGCTGATTGTAATACAGTGATCACGACGGACCAGGGCTTGCACATCATTTGCCTTCACACACAAACACACAAAACACACAAAACACAGGTCCCATTGAGGTTTAAAAAGCTGTAAACTCCAGCTGCACACACACACACACACACAAACACAGCATGTAAAGGCTAGTGTTAGCAGAGCAGCTAAGCTAACTTGAGTTTTAGGGGCAGAAATGTGTGCGGGGATAAACAAACACGGCTCGGCGCTGGGTTACCGTCTCTGCCGCTGACCTGTAGTTCAACACTTCCGCGGGGCCTACTGGCAATAAAATCAAAAAATAATCCACGAGGTGTTATTGATGCACACACCGACGAGAATCACCCGAACCCCCAACATCACAGCTACCCAGCAGCCGCCAGCCCAGCACCGAGAAAAGTTGGCAGGCACGAGGGGACCGTTAAACCGCCGGGACCAAGACAACGGTGCCGCCGGCAAAGTGAGCACCGGTCGGCGGCAGGTGGACTCCAAAGTTCCCCGTTAGAAACTCCGGTTAGGGCAAAACAACACAGGTGGTTCACGGAGCTAGCCAGCGTGCTAACCACTAGCACGAACCAACTTCCCAAGCAAACGTTACTCGACCTAGCTTGATGCTGAGCGAGCTAACACCCGCAAACTCTTACCTTTAGCTCCCCGGGATGAACATGCACAACATTAACGCTCCCACGCACCAAACTGCAGATTCCAAACCGCACAAACCCCCGCACAGCGCCGCAGAACAAGTGCAGCACAACACACCCGAGCCCGGTTCTTGCTTGGCACGACTAGTTAGCCGAGTTGGCTAACGTCACCTCGGCTAATTTTTCCCCGTTAACCGCACCGTGCAGGGAGGGAGAATCGTGGCGATGTGAGAAGTAGCCTCCGCCGCCGCTGCTGCTGCTGCCGCCGCCGCCGCCGCTGCTGCTTCCAGCATCGGGCACATGCTAAGTTAGCTCCGCCGCTGGCACAGACGTGAAGTCCATCAACAACACGTTAAGCTAAATGGAGTTTACCGCCTCTGGTGTCACGTTTCGCCGAGGTTTTCATTCCAGCCGCCCGAAGTAGCACGGTTAGCAGCCAAGTAGTAGAATTAGCACTTGGTAACCAGTTAGCAGCTACGGCTAGCCGCTGCAGGTTTAGCCAAGCTAGCCGATTGTTCCGCGCATAACTTTGCCGATGTATTCGCGTGTCGCCCGCGACGCCGGTCGCGGACATTTCGGGTGGGATGTTAAATCCAGGTTTTGTCATTCGCTGGGTCGCGGCTCCGCAGCTGGAGACGCACTTCTAACCCGCTTTTGTAGCCCGAGAATTGCACATACCTCACTTCCGTACATCTGCTGCACGTTCGGTCGCAGCCATGTTTTCAGTCCAGTCAACTCGTCGGGGTGTGTGAGCCGATGGAGCCGCGCTCGTCCACACGCAGCACAACACTGAACATTTCCACCTGTCAGAGACCTCACACTCCCCCGATCACCTCCGTCCACCGATGCCTGCTCGCGTACAAACAACCGCACACATTGTACCGGACTTTGCTTGTCCTCGTTTCACTGTTTCTCACTGAATTAGCACCGAATGCAAAAGGGTTGAGACACTTCATATGACCACACTGTGTTTTCATTAAGTTTTTAATAGTGTCAGCAAAAATCAGGGTGGCTCTTACTCAAGTGACGTCCATTATATGCACAAACTTACAGTACAGCATTCTGTTTGCACCCTATCAGCCAACACATGAAGCAACAGCCATGCCCACACACAAAAATAATGCCTTTAGTTAATCAGATTGCTGCTGCTGATGGTGGCCGTGATGTGGATTATGTGCTGCAATATGATTCCTCTGGCTGATTCGGTGAAGACAGATCCAGATCGGGAGTACCGTGCACATTTCATGAGCAGCAACATGCAGTTACATGTGATGTTAAACTGGGCTTGAGTGTTAAAGCATGCATTCTTAACAGACACCGCCTGCCGCTTATTTTCCTACAAAAACAAAAGAGAAGAATCTATCAACATCATAATAAATCACTCCCTTCTCTGATAAATAACCAAGTGCTGAATCCTGATCGACACACTGTCACCATCAGTACTGGTACATTCAAATACAAACCAGACATTTGCGGGATCATGCCAATTCGTTTGCATACAGAACAGTGCAAAACACAAAATTCATACCTGAGACTAGTCGGTATTTAGTCCCTTCATCACCTTATGATTTTCTTCATGGTAATTGTCACATTTTTGCTCGCCTCGCCATTCATTCAACAATATTCTCTTACACAACAGGAAAAATGTGAGATATATGTACAGCAAAATGTATAATGATCCGTCAAGACACTTGGACAAACAATATGTGCTCATTTGGTCAAGAAGAGAAAAAGGACATATGGCATTCAGTGGAATTTTTAGCTGCACATACTTTAAAATGCTCAGTTCTGAAAACAACCTGACACATGAATACTACAGTGCTAATAGAAATCAAAGAGCTCTTTATACATATTTGTACAAAATGACAAAGCTTTTTCTTAGACATGTTATTTCCATCCATGTCAGGGTGTCAAAGGCTTTCATGTGGCCGTAAAGGTGAGGTCCTTTGCTTCAATGCTTTTGAAAATAAAAGTCAAGTGCAAAATAAACAGGCTTTAATTTTCTCGAATGTTTTCCACTGTTTGCTCCCAAGTGCTTGATTAAACAGAGCGCGTCTCCACCTCGATCTTCTCCTCCGACTGCGACGATTCGGCTTCCTGGTGCGTTACGTTTGGCCGCACCGTCACCAGCGGACCCCCGCCATAGATGGAGTGGAGGAAGTTCCACGTCTCTTCGGAGATCTGCCCCGAATCCGCTCCTGCAGGGTGAGAGGGAACAAACACTCAGACACAACAAATATCTACACGGTTCAAAGCACAGCAACATTTCCCAGAGGCTCTGCAATACAAACAAAAAGGTTTTCTTCATTTTATGCTTCTTTCAATTCCCGAATGAAGATTCAAAACAACAAAACAATATGACTCATAATAATAATAAAACAGTACCTTGTTTGAGTGTTAAATGGCCGTTCTTGTTTACTGTTATCTTGGAATTATCAATGGGTCCCGGTGGATCTTAAAGATGAAGAAAGACAATTAGTAATATTATTCACAGCAGTAACACATACATACAGACATACATTCTGTTCAAATCGTTTTAAAGAGCAATGAAGTTAAAAGCACTTCCTGCACCCCACTTGCTACAGCAAGCAAACAAATATTAGAGGAGCAGAAGTCAGAGGAGAAGACACGTTTGCAGACGTGCCAGATGGAAGCTGTTATAAATAGATATGACATTACAAAGCAAGGAAAGGGGGAAAAAAACGAGAGCAAGTGGAATAAAAATGAAATAAAAACCGGAAGCTTCCTTCTGCTGCAGCAGGAGGGAATCTTGACTCAGGGGACTGAGGAAAACGCTTTGAAGATAAATCGAGAGAAGAAACGGGACTCCTCCGTTTCTTTTGAACACAAGCTGTTTTTGCTAATAAGAGGATGTCCCATATAAAACAGCTAATTTGCTATTCTCTCCTTCTCACACATGTATAGATGTGACATGTGTCGTTTGTTTGTAAATGTACATTGAACAAAATCACAGCAAACAGATTCATCACAACCAATCACCAGGAATCCAAGTTTAAAGACAACTGGAATGAGATTTTTTTTTAAAAGGACATTTAAACCAGATAGGGGCTGGAAAGGCAAGACTTCTGTCCAATCACCATTGTCTTTTCCTTTGACAAAGCCCTCCCACTCGCGGAACCACTGCATGCTGATGCAGTATATGACCACTGGAGACTCCTCCTCCTGGAACGCCTTGTTCAACTTCAGAGAGGGAAGAGAGGGAGAGAGGAAATGGGGGAGGAGTGAGCAGCAGAGACAAGAGGGAGGAGAGAGGATGAAAAGGGATGGGGAGGAGAAACAGGGGGGGATGGGAGCAAAAAGAAAATAAGTGAGGTTTAAAGGATTTACAGGAGAGGAGATGGAAAACCTAATCAATTCTCTCTGGTTCTTATTCCAATTAAGGGCAGTCTTAGCACCACACAGCACCAATTTCATCTTTCTTGGAAATGACACAATCCCTGCTCTTCTTGTTCACTGCTCACTGAAGCTAATAACGTGCATCTGTCTCAATGCATTAATCATTAGGCTTTCATCAGACTCACACCTCTCATCTCCTGCCGGGTGACAAGCACCAACACATGCAATCTATCAACTGGTTAAATAGACTGGACAATACATCCTGCACAGCATATAGTCAATGAGTGACGGCTGCACATAGGCTAACTGGCACATGAAGAATTATCAATCACACTTATTTTTACTGCATTTGGCTAAAAGTTTCCGTTGCTGCTCCTGATTTTGCTGACAAACGTTTGGTTTAAAAGTCTTACCCGGACAAACATGTCCAGCTCCGACTTGCGCCGTTTCTCCAGTTTTTCTATCTCAACCTGGCACGTGTGGCAAACGTACAGGTGGTTGACAGCTGGTCCTCCTCCATACCTGCGGAGATGAGTCCACATTAGCTCACACAGATTGAATTAGCACAACAAAGACACGATAGTATGTGCACATATGAGAACAATGGGAATGATGTGAGATCTGAGAGTGTTTAAGGCCTCCAGTCAAAGCTGGCCTGTCTGCTGTATGTACCTGCTGTAGAGGTGATCCCACACGTTCTGTGGCAGCATTATCACCAGGTCATCAATGAACGATGCTTTGTTGGGTGGAACGCCTGATGGAACAGTGGAACATTTTAAAATGTAACGATTGTGTGTAGAGACGTCACAGAGAACACTTTTGTTATGGATCGGTTTTGGAAATATTCTGGTTATAAATAGATAAATAGGCCAAGAAGTTGAACAATATATATTTTAAATACATCTTAAAATACTTTCCCATTTTCAAGCCTTAAAATCCTGAAATCATGTGAGAAAGAAAAAAGGCAAAACTAGGACACAGCAAAGCAGCTAAATGTGTGCACGCAGAAAAAGCAGTGGCGTTTTGCTTCAACACAGACAACTGGCAAGATAATGTAACTGCATAATAAAATGTGATGCTTAAATGCTAGTAGAAGTAAAACCTATAATTGTATTACTTTAATTAGTAGCAGTCATTCAGTGTGGGTA